GGGAGTCTGCTTCTCCCTCTGACCCTCCTCCCTCTCGTGCTGTTTCTCTCTCCCTCTCTCTCTCTCAAATAAATAAATAGATAAAATCTTTAAAAAAAAAGAGAGAAACAAAGGGGAGGCAGGGAGAGAGAAAATGTGTTATAAATACAAATTTTACAAAGCACAAAAACATAAATATGGGGAAATTATCAGCCTTTTTACTCAAATATACTAGATTCCTGCCATCACAGATCACTATTTTAGGTATTTTACTTCACTTAATCTTCAAAACAACACCTGAGGGAGAGATTCTAACTTCTTTTTGCTATCAGGGAAAGACAGGTCACAATTACACAATGGGAATGAAAAATCAGACTCATTTCAGGGGCACCTGGGTGGCTCAGTGAGGTAAGCGTCTGCCTTCAACTCAGGTCATGATCCTGGAGTCCTGAGATTGAGCCCCTTGGTTGGGCTCCCTGCTCAGTGGGGAGTCTGCTTCTCCCTCTCCCTTTGCCCCTCAGCTCGTGCTCTCTCTCTCGCTCACCCTCTCTCTCAAATAAATAAAATCTTAAAAACATAATAAATATCAGATTCAACTCATTCTAAAATTCACTTTCATTCCACTTCACAGTAGGCCAAGACTACTTGTAAATAAGATCTCTGTTCATTAAGGAAACAAAGGAAACAAGTAAAAAGCTATCAGAACTCTATTAGTCAGGTAATTGCAGAGGCATTTAGAGTAACTGTAGAGGACTGCAACTGTCTTTAAAATGCACCAACAGAAGACTGAATCAGGATGTGTATGGGTGGCTCAGGAGGTTAGGCTTCTGACTCTTGATTTTGGCTCAGGTCATGATCTCAGGGTTGTGAGATGGAGCCCAGTCTCAGGCTCTGTGCTGGGCATGGAGCCTGCTTGGGATTCTCTCGCTCCCTCTCCCTCCACCCCTCCCCTCCTCTAATAAAAAAGACTGATTCCCGAACAGAGGATGGATAGAGAGTTAGATAACTGGTAGAGCCAGTCTAGTAGGACGTTAATGGTAGAATCTAGGTGGTAGGTATATGGATGGATACTTTAACATTCTTTCAGTATTTCTGTATGTTTGAAAATTTTCCATACTAAAATGTTAGGTGGAGAGAAAGACATTACAGTAAGAATTTAATAAGGTGGCCAAGCAGCAAGTATATATATATATATATATACATATATTTTAAAGATTTTATTGATTTATTTGACAGAGACACAGCGAGAGAGGGAACACAAGCAGGGGGAGTGGGAGAGGGAGAAGCAGGCTTCCCGCTGAGCAGGGCGCCCGATGTGGGACTCGATCCCAGGACCCTGGGATCACGACCTGAGCCGAAGGCTTAACGACTGAGCCACCCAGGCGCCCCGCAGCAAGTAGATATTTAAAGTTAATTGGTTTTTTATATTATAGAAAATTATAAGGAAAAGAGACTCAGAAAGGAATAACAGGCTTACAACTGAGATAAAAATAAAGTCTACATTGGAGATGAAAGGCAGGGGAACAAATCCATGAGTAAATGCATAATCATAAAATGTCCCCAAAATGATACCTAAACATTTCAAACATTTCACCTTTATATAAATATATGCAAACACTGAATACGACTCCACTCACAATACCACAGGTTCATACATTAAAATAATCTGTAAATGTTTATTACATGAAATAAGGTAAGAGAGAAAATCATAGTACCATTTACACAATTTATCTGAATTATCAATATTAAGCCCAATATAAAAGCCTCAAACTAAAATGTAATAAAATTTTGACAAGGATTACCCCTTGGGAACGGAATTTACAGTGACAAGAGATGTTATTTTCCTTGTGTCAGTCGGAGTCTGAAAAGAAATATCCAAGAGGAATGTGCAGGAATCTTTCAGGACAAAGGATAAAAGGCTGCATCTTAAATATGAAACTGCTATTAGAGACGCTGGATCATTCACCTCGCCAAAAACTTTGATTTCTGAAAGTTCGAGAGTAAGGGGTGATGTTGGATGCCAAAGAGGGTTTAAGAACTAGAGCTCAGACTTGGGGTTACAGGGCAGAAGGGGGACGCAAACGCACCTCGCGTCTGTGGCAGCCGCCGAGGACTGGGCTCAGCACGCCCCGGCCAAGCCCCGGGCCTCCAGGCGCGGCCCACACTCGCACCAGCGCCCCGGACGCTCGGAGCAGCCCCCCGTGAGCCCCCAGAGACCCCTGCACGTGAACCCCGAAACAGCTCATCTTTGCGCCCCGAACAAAATCTGCACCACATGCAGCCTTCTCTGACAGCCACAACCCTGCGGCTGGCAATCTCTGAGCCCCAGAGAGTAAGCGGCCCCCAAATGTGCCCTCGGCACCAGATCGCTGTTCTCCAGAGATCTTTAACCACGAGCCACGAGAGCACCTCCGGACTGAGGCCAGGGGCACCAACAAGCGCACACCCTAACAGGGAAGAACATCCACCCACGCTCTCCTCCCGCTGGAATCCCACCCGCATCACCCGAGGAGGACGCCGACCCACAAACACACCCAGACACTGACCTGATTTTCGCCACACACCACCGCGACCGGTCGGCGCCTGAACTTACTTCGCTAAACTTCGCCCGCGTCCCTCAGCACCCCAGGACGGTGGCCAACAAGGGTCTGAGGCATTTCTAGAGAAAAGGCAACTGGATCCCGGTTTTTCCGCTGCGGCAACATGGCCGCGCCCTGGCCGTACCCCACGGGGGCGGCCATCTTGGATCACGGTCGTACGGCGAGCCGAGGGGCCTCTTCTGCGCCCGCGAGCAGGGGCGGCTGGGAAAGTGGAAGGGCCGGTGGGTCCGACAAAAACGCACAGGTGTCTCCAGGCTGAAGCTTAAACCAGGCAAAAACGACGCGGCGGAAATCCCTTTCAGCTTGCCGACTGGAAAATTAAAAATTAGACGGCTCAGTTGGCACGACCCTGTTAACAGGAAGTGGAGGTATTTGTCCATCACAGAACACGCTTGGGAAAAGGCGAACCCACCTAAAGAAGCTTCCTCCACCGAGTTTCTAGGAAAAATGAGCTTGAAGCGACTTTTGGACAGAGAACGACGTGCGCAGAAGCTCTGAGGGCACAGGGATGGTGGTCACTCACTAGGAAATAAAAGCGCCGGAACGCGCCAGTTAGGCTTGGGGGCGAGTAATAGGGGAAAAGGCCACAGAAAGTCAAAAGAGGTTAGTGCCCAGGGCGAAGGGCGGAACCGAGGACGCAGGCGGAGCTTTCCCTGGGTCCAGAGAGGAAGACAGGCTTTGAGGACCAAAGGCCAGAAATAGGGAAGAATGGAGGGAAAGGCGTATGCATGTGAAAGAGAAATTGCCAACTGTTTTCCAGTCAGTATACCAACCCATTCCACCATCAATATATGAGATCCACTCTCCACATCCTATTATAAAAGGAATAAGAAAAAGACTAACGTAATTTTTTAAATAGCTCAATAAGCCACTTATTTTTAAAAATTGCAAATACTCAGGGCGCCTGGGTGGCTCAGTCGTTAAGCGTCTGCCTTCGGCTCAGGTCATGATCCCGGGGTCCTGGGATCGAGCCCCGCATCGGGCTCCCTGCTCAGCGGGAAGCCTGCTTCTCCCTCTCCCACTCCCCCTGCTTGTGTTCCCGCTCTCGCTGTCTCTCTCTGTCAAATAAATAAATAAAATCTTAAAAAATAAAAATTGCAAATACTCGACTTTTAAAGTGCATCTAATATTCAAATAAATGCAAAGTAAACATGAAGCAAAAATATTTTAAGCCTTAAGATTCATAAAGATTGAACGATGACTAACATTCAGAGTGGCGAGGCCATGGGATAAAGGCACTCGATTATGCTAAGTCTTATTTTTCTCATCTGCATAGGTAAATTAAGTGTTGTCCACCACATACAGCTTTGAATGAACTGAGATGTTACTACCTTGCTTATCAGAGTTGCAAGTTTAAAATGCACACCACATTTAATATTAGATATTTGATGTGTTTTTAGGGAGGCAGGATTCAGACTAGAGCATATAAATCAGTAAAATCCTGCAATTATCCAATTTAAACTTTTCATCTCTTTGAGCCAGCAATTAATTTCAAGAATTGATTCAGTAGAAATTTATTTTTTTGAGACCATGTACAAGAGTAATTATAGCATCAATTTTGACAATTTTAAAGAAATAAACACTCTTGTGCTTGTTACATGAATGTACTACTCTTGGGTCTCTATATTTTTTGAAGATTTTATTTATTCATTTGTCAGGGAGAGACACAGCGAGAGAGGGAACACAAGCAGGGGGAGTGGGAGAGGGAGAAGCAGGCTTCCCACTGAGCAGGGAGCCTGACGCGGGACTCAATCCCAGGACCCTGGGATCATGACCTGAGCCGAAGGCAGACGCTTAACGACTGAGCCACCCAGGAGCCCCTATATGTTCACTTTTGGATAGCATCCCTTCCTAGTGAAGCTGACCAATGTGTCCAATAGGACAAATAACAAACAGGATAGAACTAGACTTGCTCAGTAAGGTATGGTCTGTCTCTTGGAGCTCTTCTAACACATTAGAATAGAGCCCAGGCTAGCCTCTTGCAGTATGAGAGCCTGTGAAAGACCCCATCAATTCCAGTGGAGGCTTAGAGGTGTAGCCATCTAGTTCACGCAGCCTCTGTCCAGACAGCCCCACCAGACATCCAACCCTAAACCCACACAGCATAATTAGTAAATGTTTATTTTTAGACATTAACTTTTAGGAAAGTAATTTTGTAATGCAAAGGTAACTAATACCAATATGAATGTACATCAGTAGGTGATCTGTTAAATAAATAATAAATGAACATGCATACAGACATAAAAAGAATGAAGGACACTGTAAATTTGGTGCAGCCACTATGGAAAACAGTGTGACATTTCCTCAAAAAATTAAAAATAAAACCACCATATGATCCACTAATTCTACTTGAACTTATCCAAAGGAAATGAAATCACTGTCTTAAAAAGACAGTTGTCCTCCCATGCTCATTGCAGCATTATTTACAATAGCCATGGCATCGAAACCAAAGTGTCCTCCTATACAAAATGAATGGATAAAGAAAATGTACACACAATTGAATATTATTCAGCCATAAAAAAGAAAATCCTGCTATTTATGACTCATGAATAGACCCTGAGGGTACTATGCTAAGTGAAATAAGTCAGAGAAAAACAAATACTGTATGATCTCACTTATATGTGGAATCTAAAAGAGAAAAAAAAAAACTAAACTGAGAGAGAAAAATTGGTGGTTGTGACAGGCAGGGTTGGGGGTGGGGTGTGGATGAAATACCTTAAGATGGTCAAAATGTACAAACTTCCAGTTATAAGATAAATAAGTCTAATTATAATAGTAATAATGCTGTGTTGAACATCATTGGCCATTAGGAAAATGCAAGTTAAGCTCAAGATTGTTTACTACTATATACCTAAGAGAATAGTTAATGTAAAATATAGTGACAATACCAACTGCTGGGGAGGATGGAGAGCAACTAAATCTCTCCTATGTTGCTGGTGGAATGGCTAAAAGAAATACACAGTTGACCCTTGAGCAACATGGGTTTGAACTGCATGAGTTCACTTATATGTGGATTTTTTTACAGTGTAGTACTGTAAATGTATTTTCCCTTCCTTATGATTTTGTTAGGCTTTACAATTTTTTAAAACTCCAGTATAATTAACACAGAGTATATTAATTTCAGGTGTACGATATAGTGAGTCAATAATTCTATAAATTACTTAGTGCCAATCACTTTAAGTGTACTCCTAATCCCCCTTTTTTCCACCCATTCCCCCACCCACCTCCCCTCTGGTAACCACCAGATCATTCTCTGTATAGAGTCTGGGGGGACGCCTGGGTGGCTCAGTTGGTTGGGTGACTGCCTTCAGCTCGGGTCACGATCCTGGAGCCCCGGGATGGAGTCCTGCATCGGGCTCCCTGCTCAGCAGGGAGTCTGCTTCTCCCTCTGACCCTCCCCACTCTCGTGCTCTCTCTCTCATTCTCGCTCTCTCAAATAAATAAATAAAATAAAATCTTTAAAAAAAAGAAGTGTCTTTTTTCTTTGTTCATGTTTCTTAAATTCCACATGAGTGAAATCATATGGTATTTGTCTTCCTCAGAAGTCTTATTTTTTTTTTAAAGATTTATTTATTTGAGAGAGAGCAAGCAAGCAGGGGGAGGGTCAGAGGGAGAGAATTTTTCAAGCAGACCTGGCACTGAGCTCAGATCCTGACGCGGGGCTCAATCCCACGACCCATGAGATCATGACCTAAGCCAAAACCGAGAGTCAGACGCTTAACTGACTTAGCCACCCGGGCGCCCCAGAAGTCTGATTTTCTTTTCCCTAGCTTACTTTAAGAATATAGTATATAACACGGGCGCCTGGGTGGCTCAGTTGGTTGAGCGACTGCCTTCGGCTCAGGTCATGATCCTGGAGTCCCGGGAT